GGACCACATCAGTGGTCAGTAGGGATAATCTACTCACCGATAAGTAGGCAAGTCTTGTCCATAAATTAATACAACCATCCAAAAATAATCAATGAATTTACAAATTCATAAATTTAAATTTTTTCATATCAAATTGCAAAGAACAAAACCAATTATTCAAATAACAAATGATTAATTACTGTTATTAAGTAACCCTAATCCTCTATTTTATTCCACTGCTAATAACAAAATAATTACAACGTTTTCACTCACAATCTCTTCCTCTTACTACTACGATTCCATTTCAACTATCTCGAAACTCTCACATGGCTTTGGATAAAATCATGCCATGTGTCCACTCTATTGACGATTAAAACATGTCCCCTAGAATTTATATGACTCCCGTCCTATTTTTGTTGACCCCACAGGTCGGGGTTGTCTAGAACCTTCAATTCTTTGTCGTTTCCCTTTTCTCTTTTTTTTTTCCCTAGTTGGTACTCACACACGCATGCCTCCACCGAGGTTCGAACCCTTTACCTCCCTTTGGAAAGTAGGGGCTTAGTACTGCTAGGCCACTGGCTCGTTGGTTTGTCGCTTCCCTTTTTACTCATTTTGTTTGTCTTTTTTATCCCATTGGCCTTGTTAGAACCGATTGTTATTATTCCCTTGAGCTTCTTGGAAAGTACTGTACCTTTTCCTTTACCTTTCCTTTCTGTCTCCTGCTCCTTTTGCTTTTGAAAATTGTTGTTGTTATTATCCTCAATTATATTGGCACATTCTATAACCTTTGCATAGGTATCACATCTATACTCGGTCACCAACCTTTTGACATGGGAGATCAGGCCCCTCAAACTTCTAGATCTTGTGTTCTTCATCTACCACCATGTGTGGAACAAACCAAGAGAGTTGTGTAAACTTTATCTCATTGTCACTAACTACCATTGTGTTGCTCTATTCTAGCTCCATGAATTTAACCGCTTCCTTTCCCTCACAACTCACGTTATTTATTTATTTATATAGAATTATGTCTTAAATTTGTCCTAAGTCATACCAATTATTTCCATAGTAGTCCTAGTTACAATCTGCCCCCACTGGCGTGCCTCACCTGACAAGAAAAATGTAGCTATCATCCATTTTTGTACTTTAGTATAGTCCATCATCTCATAATACTTCTCCATACAGATCTTATTTTTGGCATCAAGTGGATCGAAAGCTCTGACGAATTCGACAACTGCCACATTGGGTGAGCTACAGGTGCACAATCTTACATCATCTGGGTACGAAAAGGGAAGTGCTGATGTGATTAGTGTGTGTAGTCTGTGGTTTAGTTTAATTTTAATATTTGTAGAATCACTACTTTCGCAATAAAACAGGTCATATAGCGTGGTATGGTATCGTTCGCAAATTCTATGGCTTGATTAAATTCAAACTCAATGAACAATTGATATAAGAGAAGGGTTGAATTATTCCTATTTAACAACTAAAATAAAACTAAGAATGCAAGTAAAATGAAATAGCAATAAGCAAGAGAAGATAACGAAGAGAGACTTAGGGCATGGAATCCACCCTTAGGCTTGTAACCATAGCATTGCCAATAATCTTGGAGAAATCAAATGTGTATTAATGAATTATGGCTACAAGCACACAATTGAGTTAATTCAAGCAATAACTACAATTGGCATCACAAGTATAATCCATCTTAGCTAAGCATGCATTGTCTACCTACCTACTTCTAATCTAAATTTGTAGCACAATTCATCTTCACTAGGTATGGAATATCAAGTTGATTATAATCATATCCATAAAGCACCATTGTGTAAGCATCATCATCACAATTACAAAAAGTGAAAATGTTGAGATCAATTTACATTAATCAATATCTAAGACAAGACAAGGACTAAAAGAAGATCAATTATAGAATTAACCCCCAATCAATCTTAGTACAACCACGTCAATTAATAAGAGTATACAATCAATATACTAAGGAAATCCCCAAAGTTGACAACAAAACTACAAGTTACTTGGCTTAGGGCTTCATCTAAGCCCTAAGGTGAAGTCTAACTAGCCATAGAGGTAGGGTAGATCTTCATTAAAGGATGAATCTCCATCTCTAAGCACAACCAAAGAGCTTTTTCTCCGATCTTCAAAGAGAGAACCCTAGAGAGAGAAATAGTGGCCTCCAATTCTTGCAAAAAACCAACCTCTTTTCAAATAAGCTTTAATCTTCTATTTATATATTAGCTTGTGGCTAAGAAATGGGCAAACCACGTCCTTAAGCAACGCTCGTCGCTTGAGTGCGCCTCGAATTAGTCTTCAAAAGGGATCAAGGTCTAAAGTTGCAATGGACTCACAGTCGTACTCGATCGATAGAGTCTCACACAGTACTTGATCGATCGAGTGCACTGAATTCTACACTTCAACCCTCTTTTGATCCCCACTCTTTGCTAAGACTTCTTTTGGCATATAGAAGTTTTATAGCACTAGATTAAGCCCTGTTTAACCATAAACACCTAAAAATAAAAAATAAACAAATTAGAGCTAAAAGGTAAGCAAATATAAGATTAAGGCACTAACATATGCAAGAATAAAAGTTTAAACGTGCATCTTTTGGCACTTATTAAGTGCTATATATGTAGGATTAATTTGTACACTCCAATTGGTATAAGGCCTTTTGGGTAAAGCCCAAGAGCAAAACCGTGCGGGCTCGATCCCAAAGCGAACAATATCATACCATGTGGTGGAGTGGATCGTTACAAATGATATAAGCCAACCAGTATGTTGGGCCCTGGGGGTGATTGTGGCAATATTTTGGGCAGGTGTAAGAGGCACTGGTGGGCTACCACAATAGGTGAGTTACAAATGTGCAATCCCCCTATTTTTTAGAGCATTTAATTTATTATTTTAATTACATTTTAATTATTTTGTTTGGCTAATTGTCTTTATTAAATGATTATTATGTTAATTGGTTGATTGATTATTTGATTTAAGTGGCTATGTGATTAATTTGGTTACTTTAAATTATTTAATAAGCATTATTTGTCATTACTGGGTTAAGTGCCATTAATTGTTTAATGGTGTACTTAATTGTGTAATTTGCTTGTTTAATTATGTGGACCCATGGCCCATAGGGATGTTATTATGTATATATATATATATATAAGTATATATATCTATATATTTCTTAAGTTATATGTATAGATGTATAAGTGTAATGTGTTACATATGTCTATATATATACTAGCATTACTTGTATGATTTTTATTTTATTTTATTTATTTATTATTTTAGTCAGACTTAGGTTAGGATTTGTGGGTTAATGTGTGTGTGTATATATATATGTATTAGTTAAATGAAAAGAGTTTTTTTTGTTTATACGTGAGTTGCAAAGAGAGACAGAGATATAGAGAGAGATAGAAGAGGAAGAAGAAGGTGACTAGAGAAGGACAACGAAAGTGACAAGGGTTTTCGGAGTTGGAGAAGAAGATCGGAGCGATTGTAGAGAACTTGGAGTTTGGTTTTCAATCCGAAAATCACAAGGCAAGTTCTATGTTATAATCTTCCCCTTTGAACCCTTATTCTCTATATCATTAAATTGACTTTAGGGGATTTAAATAGAAGAATTAAATATGTTATCTATGCTTAAATTGATTAAAATCAATATGTTTATATGTTCATATGTGTATATGGTTATATTGGGTCTTATAAATTGGTGCTTAAATCTTGTATAATTACTCCATAATAATATTGAAATCAATTGGGACATAGATGTATACTTTAGGACCCGAAACAATGAATTTTTGGACTCAAAACGGACCTGTCGAGTTATTTTTGCGGACTTGAGCACTGTTTACAATGCTCGGGCATGATCATCTAGGAAACAACGCTCGAGTGCTGTTGGACAGGACTCGAGCGTTGTTTAGTGCTCGAGCACTGTATACCCAATTTGCCTCAAAAGTATTCCGAATGATCCCGAATTGATTTATAAAGGTCCGAACATATTTTAAAGAACAGTGTTTTACATTTTAAATAACATAGAACCTATTTATGTTTTTATGATTTGTTGATTAATGTGAACTCATTTGAGAACAGCAATAATTTATTGCCTTTAAATAAGTCTAATGCACCACAATACTATTAATAGGAAGTTGTGGTGAATGCCCCTTTCATTCAAAAGTAGCATAGTTCGCGAAGATCTGGAAAACATCGTATCTTTTACTAATCCAGTTTCGGACAATTTAAAGGTAAAAAAAGACAAGTTCGTCAATAAATATTCTCGTCACTCATCGGATTTTCCGAGATCTCTCACCTGTCGGTCACCTTCTCTTATCCTAAATCAAATATTTACCGGCTTATCCAGTTACAAGTCCTTTTGACTGGTGTTATCCGGTTAGCATCACAGCTCAGCACACACATATAAATAGACGTAAATTTTGCTATAGTTCTACTTCTTTCTTCGTTTTATTCAACTGCTCTTGATGAGTTCCAAGGTATTATAGTTTCATCCCACGATACTTTCGAGGTATGTATGCCCGAATCGATTTCCGACTCAAACAAACAGTTTACGCAATAATCAACAAAATAGTCCTTTGACACCTCAATCGATTTTATAAAAGAATCGATACTTTTATCTTTTTTCTTACTGTACATGCCAAAATCTCTATAACTAGATTTTACAATTCAGTAGTATATAGTTGAAATACTTTTTGCTTATGTGAATAATTTCTCTATCCTTGTTCGTATTATATATGGTATGAAGGATTTGAATTTCTGGTTCCTTATATGTGATACATGTGGCGAACGAATTTTATAATTTGTTATGCTAAGTTACAATCTTTAATATGTGCAGGTTTATGGGTTTCATTCATGGTATGGCTTGATTTTGAAGTTGGGGTAATTTGATTCATTATTTGATTTTGAAATCGTTTGTTTTTTAAACACAAAATGCAGAATTTTGTACCCACAAAATATTATTTGTTTTTGCTTAGCAATCTGCAGTCAATCTTTGAATAAATAAATTGAAAATGTCTCCAACGGCTACGGATGTATCTCAAAATGGAAGTGTCGTTAAAAATGTCCATTTGGGATCCACGATTTGTGAAAATGAAGACACTGATTTGTTAAGGTTATCGGATAGACCTCCTCGACCTACTCACATAGAGAGGAATAGATCCTTCGATGAAAGGTCCTTCAGTGAAATGTCCATCTCTTTGTCACCACCACGTCCAAATTTTAGTTCTGAAAACTCCTCCCATGTATTTGACCATCTCGAGTGTATGCGATCTGGCTTTAATTCTCCAAGATCAAATCATTTTGAACCACATCCCATGGTGTTTGATGCATGGGAGGCCTTGAGGCGTTCGCTGGTTTTCTTCCGTGGGCAACCAGTAGGGACCATTGCTGCCTCCGACCATTCTGCAGAAGAACTTAACTATGATCAGGTGCAGCCCCAAATTCCATTTTCTTGTTATAATGGATTTTTTATTTTTTTTTTATTAACATGTAGTATTCTCGATTCCGTTTTAGGAGTTATAGACAATATTTTTTTTTTTATTAATTATTATTAATTCTCATTTTATTTGACCTATCAGGTATTTGTGAGAGATTTTGTTCCTAGTGCCTTGGCTTTTTTGATGAACGGGGAGCCTGAAATAGTTAAGAACTTCCTTTTGAAAACCCTTCGTCTCCAATCACGGGAAAAGAGGGTTGATCAGTTCAAGTTAGGAGAAGGAGTCATGCCAGCAAGTTTTAAAGTACTCCATGACCCTGTTAGGAACTTTGAGACTATAACTGCAGATTTTGGTGAAAGTGCAATAGGTAGAGTTGCTCCGGTCGATTCTGGTTTTTGGTGGATTATATTACTTCGTGCATATACAAAGTCTACAGGGGACATTTCTTTGGCTGAACTGCCTGAATGCCAAAGGGGAATGCGCCTTATTCTGAGTTTATGTCTCTCTGAAGGATTTGATACATTCCCAACTCTACTCTGTGCTGATGGATGTTCTATGGTTGACCGTAGAATGGTGAGTTCCTTCCAATCTCTTCTCTTAAAGTTTTGTGATATAATCATATTAACTTTCTCTTCTTTTTTTCCCCTAGTCAACATTTATTTTTACTTGTGTTCGGTTGTATGGAATTAGAACCTTAAAATTAGAATTGGTGGAATTAAAGAAAATTTTAGTGCAATTTTCTGAATTGCTTTACTCCAATTCCAAGACTCTAATTTCATACAACCGAATATAGCCTTAAGAAATTTGATAAGACATTATTGAAGATTAAGCTCTTGCGTCAATATTTGTAGTACATACTTTTAAATATTGAATGAGATTTCTCATTTTGTTAATTTTTGTATATGGATTCAGGGGATTTATGGGTATCCTATTGAAATACAAGCACTTTTCTTTATGGCTTTAAGATGTGCTTTACTTCTACTTAAGCATGATGATGAGGGAAAGGAGTTTGCTGATCGAATAGTTAAACGCCTCCATGCTTTAAGCTATCACATGAGAAGCTATTTTTGGCTGGACATAAAGCAACTTAATGACATATATCGTTTTAAGACAGAGGAGTACTCTCACACAGCTGTAAACAAATTCAATGTAATGCCTGACTCCCTTCCAGATTGGGTGTTTGATTTCATGCCAAATCGCGGCGGTTACTTTATTGGTAATGTGAGTCCTGCAAGAATGGATTTTCGTTGGTTTTGCCTGGGTAATTGCGTGGCGATTTTGTCTTCTTTAGCAACCCCTGAGCAAGCTTCAGCGATTATGGATCTTATTGAATCGCGTTGGGAAGAGTTAATTGGAGAAATGCCACTGAAGATTTGTTATCCTGCCATGGAAAGTCATGAATGGAGGATTGTAACTGGCTGTGATCCGAAGAATACTAGCTGGAGTTACCATAATGGAGGATCTTGGCCAGGTGAGCTTCTACTTTTCCCCCTTTTCAACAGCTTAGCACCCAAGACATGTATGAATGAACTGTCTCTAATTTGTAAGACATTCTTGAATCTTATGGAATTTGATTGTTGCGAGGAAGGAAGTTTTAAATCAGGTCCATACATACACAGGTTCTTTCAATGTGTTTAGGTGCATATATGCACACAATGGTTGATCTAACATAGTTGTAGTTGGCTCTTATGAATCTTAGGACACCATATATATGTAGCTCTTCAATAGGATATACCATTTTTTGTTTATTACTCAGAAAACAGTTTTCAAAAATTTAGAAAATTGTTTTTAGAGAACACCTTTTTATAACCGAGTTTTTATAAAACTGTATCAAACAGAGTTTTTTTTATAGAGTTTTTTTATTTCAGTTTTCTGAAAACAAAAAACTTTTCTCAGAGTTACAACCAATCTGACCAAGTTCTCAAAATACTATAAAAACAGTTCTCTTTTCATAAAACAATTGTCCGAAATAGTCAACCAAGCATGTTTTTGTTTCGATTCTCAAAAAACAAAAACTATTTGAAAAAAACTAAACCAAACAGACCTATAGTTTGTTGATGAATTTATTTGAAGCACCACACACATACACTGCATCAAGATGGTTGAAGAGTTTAATTTACTTAATTGTTGTGGGTGCAGTACTTCTATGGCTCCTTACCGCTGCATGTATCAAGACTGGACGACCCCAAATTGCTAGACGTGCCATTGCAATTGTTGAAAGCCGTTTGTTGAAAGACCATTGGCCTGAATATTATGACGGAAAGCTTGGTCGATTTATTGGAAAACAGTCCCGGAAATTCCAGACCTGGTCCATTGCTGGTTATTTGGTGGCCAAGATGATGCTTGAAGACCCATCTCATTTGGGTATGATATCGATCGAGGAAGACAAACAGATGAAACCCCACATAAAAAGATCCACTTCATGGACCTCTTGATACTCTTTGTATTCATTATTCTCTGTCCAAATATCATTTTCAGCATACATATTTAGCCTGAAACTTGTCTGTTGGTTTAAAGAGACAAAGCAACTTAAAGCATTTGACTAGTTGGTACTACTTTTTTTTTCCCCTCCCAGGGCAAGAAAGCCATCATTAAAATAGATCAATGAATTGATAATTGCAATCTCTAAGAGACATCTCTTTAATAATATTAAGCTGGAAAGAAATCCCCAAAAAACAGTTTCCCCTCCCATGCATTGCCTAAGATCAAGACCATGAGCCATATATCATTATAAATTTATAATATATATTCATTTAGTATATAAAAGTGCGAAAAAAAAACCCCTAAACTATTGTATTGTTACAAAATGTCCACCTGAATTATTTTTTGAAGCAAGTTGCCCCTGAACTATCAAAAGCAAACAAAATGCCCCCCTAAAGGTCACCAGAGACTACTTTTCGACCGGCAGAGGGGCACAATTACTAATTTACTCCCACTTATTAATTTATCATAAAAGATAGGGTCGTGTGTGATTAACCCCCTATAGTATTCAAATTGTGCGTCTAACCGCCGACCGTTTGTTAACCACCCCTCTACATAAAAATAGGTGTGAATTAGCGCCTTTTCTCTATTTTTCGGTCCCGAAACTGCGAATAGACTTAAATACCCTTTTCTATATGATTTTTAAAAATAATTAAACTAACATGATTGTGAAAATAAAAAAAATAAAAAATAAAACCGACATCATTCATAGTCAAGGCATCTTACACTGGCTTGATGTCCTTTTATCTTTCCACTTATGCATATAACACTTACTCTAAAACATTAATGTCTCTTTCTACAACAGAATGAGATCTAGGTTGTGTGCCAATTGCATATTCGTGTCTGAAAGTAACGATTTTTAGGTTCTTCACAGCCATTCAACCACCGTCGCCCACTACTCTCCATAGCCCGTCATCCCTCACAGCTGTTGCCATCACGTAGCGAACTGCCCGCCCATCAACTGATCTGTCTCACCGGCCTTCGTTCCTCTCACAGCCGAGCCATCCACCGGCTGAGCTCCCCACCATCCATCACAGTTGAGTCAAACCATCACTGGTCGAGCTCTCCACCACCATTTCGCGCTCTCTGCCGCGAACCGTCCATCTTAATTGATTCAATTTTGATTTTTGTGAAGTGGGACTTAAGGCCAGGGCAGTGCAGTGCAATGATTTAATTTTGATTTTTGTATGTTATGCACAAGTGCCCTTTACTCTGATTTTTTTTAACTATTGTATGTCATGAACAAGTGCAGTGGTTCCAACATGTTTTGTTAATGATCAAATTGATTTGAATAACTTAATGAATAGTTTAGAGGTTTCATTTATGTATAAACAATACAAAATCCATTTCCATTCAATAATAGGTTTCATTTATATATAACCAATAGAAAATCCATTCAATAACCAACAAACTAAGAACAAAATTCAGAAAGGCCACAAGCATTCAACAGTGTACAAGTCCTCTACAGGAAGAAAGATACGAAAATGGGACCATAGATGCATTAGGGATGATATTGGGATGAGAGACTGATCAGGCCTATATATCCATATATATATAGAGAGAGAGATAGAGAATATTGTTAGAGGGCAATTATGGAATATAAGGTTTTAAAATAGTGCACAACTAGCTATATATATATAGAATTTGAAGAAGGGCAATTACGAAATATAAAAAAGGGCATTTTTGGAATTTAAGATTTAAAATAGTCATGTGCATGGCACATGACCATGCATGTGACCAACCAGTGGCCATTCTCTACCGGAAGTTTGACCGGAGGAGGTAGTTGCAACATTGTTTAATCTTGTGTGGACTTATATGGACAAAATAAACTAGAGGGGTGTAATACGCACAAATGCAAAACTATGAGGGTGTTTTCTAGACTTTACTTTATATAAATATCATGGGTGTAAATTACCAATAATGCCCTCTCTAACTCTGATTTCATATATTTTTCTCGTTTCTTTTTCATTTTTCCCACCGCCTGCAGCCTTGCCGCTGTCGGTAAGAAGCAGCTTTATTGGTCACCACTGATCATTAATGAGATATAGATTCTCCTATCATTTATTTTCCTTGGTAGGAGATATAGATTCAATCAGTTAGTTGGGTGCTTTCTTGTGGCCATTGGTATAATAATAACTATAGCAAGGTAAATAGTGGGATCCTTAAATAAAGATCTAAAGCTAAATTGTACTTGTAGATCATATTGATTTAGTTAAATTAATTGAACTGAAACAATCTTTTTGTCTTCCTTGATCAATATCACAAAGTATAATAACATGGAAAAATTGACACATACAACTAGATAACAAAATTTAATGCTATAACATGATTATTCACTTCAAAACTTAACATATGGAATATCATCACACTATTTTCTATTTTGCCTCTATAGGGGGATGTATAAGACAAACATACATCCATTCATAAAGCAAATTATAAATCAACTATAAGGAATTTTCCATTAAGCATTGTACAATACGGACTGTGAGATATAAATTTGTAATTGGCATATTTCGTTGTCAAAATGAGTTCGATTGAGTTGTAAATTTTCAGTTCAATTTGTTTTAGAATCAAGATCGGAAGTGGAATTGAAGAAGTGATCATGTTCATATTTCAATACACTCTAGGATGATGACAACAACGCTTTAGAAAGGTAAGAGAGTGTGTGAGGACACTTAAGAGGTTCAATATTGAGTTTTTGGAAAGTTTACATTCTGCGCAACTTGAACTGGTTCAAGTGTTAAAGTTGGTTTGCAAGAATTTGCTACTGGCCAACTTGAACCAATTCAAGGTGGCTGAACCGGTTCAAGGACTTCAGCACATTTTGGTAACTTTTTTTCCTTGTCTGTTTTGACTTCCTATTTTGCATAGACTTTTACCATGATGATGATGCATGAAATTAACTTGTTTTCTAAGTACAATTAGGTTTTCAAAAGTCTATAAATATATGTTTTCTCACTTAAACTTTTAGAGCTTGAAAATATATATTTTTCTAATTGAGAGAATTGTTTAAGAGAGATTTTTATTCAGAAAATCAATATGATTTATTTTATTTTATTTTTGAGAGCACACACATAAACACAAGAGTGATTTATGAGTGTTGTTCTCTATCTCATCGGAATTGGAGTATAATTGAAGATTCAGAGATTTTGAAAAGCAGAATTCATTCATTCTACACCAAATTCAGATTTGAAGAAAAGGGGTGAAGCGACCATACTTTGAAGGGGTCAAAGCATTTATGGAGTGTTGTTTAATCTACCAGTAATCCTTCTATAGAAATCAAGAGGAAGCCTGAGGTAGAGAGCTGTTGGACGGGAGAGTTATAGAGCCAATGATTATCAGCGATTGATTTTTGGTAGAACGATAGGGTGTGAGCCTGAGTCAAAGTTCAGTGTACTTTGTTTCAAACATAGTGGATCGTTTTGCTCTGGACTGCACAGTTCATAAGGTTTTTCCCACAACAAATGGTCTATTTTGCCAATTGGGGTTTCCTCGCTAAAAATCCTGATATCATCTCTCAAACTTTATTTGCTTTTCTTGCTTTTATATTTTCATATGATTGTTTAATTATTTGCTAATTAAGTAAAGATAAATTGAATAAATAGACATGTGATTAAATACTCGTTAGGTAAAAACTTAAACATTTCATAATTTATTCTGTTGCACAACTCGCATGGACATCTCTTGTGATACCTTTGGATTTCCAGATGCGGGTTAGCTAGGCCCACGCTTGAACACCCGAGGATATCAAAACAAATAGCAATAAACGAACACAGAATATAATTATGATAAATAGGAATAAATAAATATTGCTAAAAGAAAGCTAAAATGATAATCCAATAATGAAAACCTCAGAATAATTTTTTATATATATAAGAACTATTCTGGTACATCCAATATAAATACAACTCGGAAATCCATCTAGTGGACCCCTATTCAAAACCCAACTGAAGATACACTAAAACAAAAAGGAAAATCCAAAACTAAATACAAACAATAGTCCTACGCAGTCGGAAGAATGAGTGACCGTCTCTGCTCAGCACGAACAAGCTCTAAGACTGGAACCATCCGATACCTTGAAAATAATAGTAGGTCAGGCCCACGAACAAGTTTTATTTTAACTATAATCCAAACAGAGACCCGATACGCAGATATATCCTCGATATCTCAACAATAGCTATCTAGTTCATACATATATATATCTACACTAAAGGACTCTCACTGGACTACAATGGGAGTCTCAACCTGAATAGAAGACAACATGCAAAAGCGCACCCAAAAGTGGGCATAAATACCTAAACCTAACAGGGTATACCTCAACCGTCATAGCCAGCTACGCATCCCAATGCATATACACTCCCTAACCAACGATCCTGAGACTCAAGCTTATATCGTGGTAACATATTCATATATCTAAAGTCCGTCTAAAACCAGAGTATGTCATTCAATTGTTCATTGATCGGACATAAGCTTTATAATCCGGTTAGTCACTCAACTTATTCAGTTGATCTAACTTAATCACTGATGAGCGCTGAAAAGTGCGCATTTAAACCCCTTAAGCTTAGGTATTCTAGAACCTTTATATATCTTATTTTCCCGCTTTAGATTAATTTTGTATTATTTCCATTTTCAAGTACTTATCCCCAAAATAAGCTAACTCAGCTAAATAAGAGCATAATTGAAGCAATCTTGAGATGAATCAAAGAAAGGAGCAAAGTGGGAGCAAAATGAAGCAAGTGGTGGAAATTCACAAAGTTCGATCGATCTCAGGAAATATTTGATCGATTAAAAGTTTATCAATCTAGACATTTCAAGATGGATCCGAGCTACATTGTCCTTATCCAAAGATCCCATAAAGTTTGATCGATCCAACTTTCTTCCGATCGATCGAAAAGATTCCATCTTATCCAGTTGTACCACCACACATACCACTTTTGTCTTTTTCCCAAAAATA